GCTCTGCCGGGTCCGTACGGCCCCCTGGATGCTGAATTTGCTGCCAGTCCCAGGGGAGTGTAGCCCCGCTGCTCCCTCACCCTCTGCCCGTGGCTGCCGCGGTGCATTGTGGGAGAATCCCGGGGGTTCCCCCAGGGTGACTGTGTGAGGGATGGGGACCCCTGGAGCAGTGCAGGGGTCTATCCAGGGTATGCGTTGAGGTGACACACTTCTTGACAAACCCTGAGCAGGTTTGTGCAGCCCCAGGCAGGGAGGGGTGCGTGGGGCGCTGCAGTGGCAACAGGGCGGGGGACCGGGCAGCCCTGCCCTGCTCCCGAGCCAAGCGGCAGGACGGTGTGCCTGCTGCGTACATGGGGTGAGGGCAGGACCCTGGCAGGCCTGGGGTCCCCCACAGTGACCCTGTGGCACAGATCCTGGCCCGGGTTTGTTGCCCGACATGGAGCTGCCCGCAGTCCCCAGGCTCTCCAGTGCCCTGAATCAGCAGTTTCTCCAGGCTTGCAGCACCGAGGCTGCCCCTATGGCCCTGCTGCTCCTGGGCCGGCTCTGGGCCTGCAGGGCTCTGGGGGCTCTTGCCCAAGGGTGGGGGCTGCTCTGGGCCCCACTGCCTGGCAGAGACCCCTCCCCATCCTCACCCCTGGGCTTGTGCGTCTGCAGCTGGCGCTGTCTGGGCTCGTCGGCATCGTCTCCTGGAAGCGGCCGCTCACCCTGGTGGTAGGTGTTGAGGGGAGACCCCTCCGCAGACGGGACTCCAGGCTGGGAAGGGCAGCACGGGGGGACTGAGTGGCCCCACATGCCCCTGGACGTGCAGCCGCGTGCGTTGGCTCCCTGCTCCGCAGCCCTGCCCGGCTGGCAGCCCCTCTCCTCCCCATTGCAGATCACCTTCTTCACGTTGCTGTCGGTGCTGGGCGTCATGCTGAGTCTTGCCGGGTCCATCCTGTCCTGCCAGAATGCGCAGCTGGTGAAGTCCCTGGAGGCCTGCGAGAGGGTGAGGCTGGCTGGGGGCTGCTGCAATGCCCCGGCGTGCCCGGGCAGCTGAGCGCAGCTCATCCCTGGCTGCAGGGCTCTGGGGACACGGGGAGCTGTGGAGCAGGGGTCTGGTAGCAGGACATGCCGGTGGCTCTTGGAGAGAACACGGTGTCCAGAGGTCCCTCATGTGTTCCTTGTCCCCAGGAGAGGGACTCGTGTGTCTGCTGCCAGGCCCGCTCAGAGCCGCTGCCCGCCTCCTGCAGCCAGCAAAGCGAGATGCTGACCATGTTCCCCAACCCCGACTGCCGGAGCATCCGCGTAGCGCTCAAGGTGGGGGACCCAGGGAGGGCCAAGGGCTCCCTGGGGAGCAGCCATGCACCCCGCCATGCTCTGCAGGCGTCCACAGCTCACCCTGCTCCTCCTCAGGATCTCCTCTTCAGTGTCTGCGGCTTGACCGTCTTCTCCACCATCATCTGCACGCTCTCTGCTGTTGTGTGCTGCATCCAGATCTTCTCCCTCGACATCGTCCATGTGGTGAGTCCCAGCCCTGGCCCAGGAGCAGACAGGGATGGGGAGCAGCGCTCCCAGGCTGGGGGGGGGGGGGGGGGGGGGGGGGGCCACCCAAAAAACTCAAAACAGCCCCACCAAAACCCCCCCACCGAACACCACAAATCTGTCTCCCCCCCCAAATAATTTAACATAGGCTTTGGATGAGGAAGCTCCCTGCAGCTGGTCCCCCAGCGCTCAAGCTCCGTGACGCTGGAATGCACGTCCCCCCCCGACACCTTTCTGCAGAGCATGATGGACTTCGAGGAGTTCGTGCCCCCAGTACCGCCACCCCCCTACTACCCACCCGAGTACACCTGCAGCTCCGAGACTGATGCGCAGAGGTACCCGGCTGGCAGCGGGGCCACCGTGATGCAGGAGCGGGGGGCCCGTTTGCCCCCAAGCTGGGGTCGTCTCACCTGATGTGGCTTTTCTGCTCTTGCCTCTGTAGTATCACCTACAACGGGTCCATGGACAGCCCTGTGCCCCTCTACCCAACCGACTTCCCCCCCTCCTACGAGACCGTGATGGGGCTGCGGGGGGACAGCCAGGTGAGGGATGGGGGGGCCGTGGGCAGGGGCTGGCCAGGCAGGACTGGGCTCCTGCTCTGCCTGTGCCCTGACCGCACTGTCCCACAGGCCACCCTGTTTGACTCGCAGCTGACGGATGGCTCGCACGCCTGCACCTGCGACCGCGTCCCCTCCATCGTGCTCAGCGGAGAAGGTGAGTGTGCCCCATCAGCGCACCTCGTGCTGGGAGCATCGGTGGGATGGGAGAGGGGCCGCGGGGTGACCAGCCCTTCCCGGCAGCTCTTCACCCACCCCTCTTCTGGTCCTTGTAGTGTCCATGGACAGCGGGTCCCTGATCATGTCCGAGATCATGGACATCCCCGGGGACAGCAGTCCCTCGGAGGACTCGTGCCTGCTGGAGCTGCAGGGCTCCATGCGCTCTGTGGACTACGTCCTCTTTCGCTCCATCCAGCGCAGCCGCGCGGACTACTGCCTGAGCGTGGACTGCGTGCAGTGCAGCCACCACGCGCGCAGCCCCATGCTGGGCTTGCAGGGGCCCTTTGAGGAGATGCCTCAGCCCCGGGTGCGGGGGGAGCGTTCCTACTCCTGCTCCACGGCAGAGCCCGGCCACGACGGCATCCTGGTGGGGGGAGCCGTCACCCACAGATGCCATCGC